ATTGGGTTTAGGACTTACTATAGGGTTTAGGGTTTATGGTTTAGGGTTTAGGGTTTAGGGTATAGGGTTTAGGGTTTAGGGTTTAGGGTTTAGGGTGTAGGGTGTAGGGTGTAGGGTGTAGGGTGTAGGGTTTGAGGTTTAGGGTTAGGTTAGGGTTTATGGTTACTATATAGGGGTTTAATGTAGGGCCTAAATGATTACCTATACGATTTTGGTAGTTCCTTATTGTAGCTATACAATATACCCCAAAGCCCCCCTATTCTAATTCTTAAGGCCCCTGCAGTAGAGTTCGTCTTAACCCATGAGACCTATACGTCTCCTAGACCAAGCCTACGGGTCCATGTACTCATATAGTATATACATTGGCCCCAAAGTACTTATACAGGGACTGCTTTAAGGCCAATGTATATACTATTTGGGTACATGGACCCTTAGGGTAAGCCCACCCCTACCCTTCTGTGTCCTTACAGGCCCCCCACGTCTGGTCCTGCAGCTTGGCTGCAGTGCTGCCGGCGCTCAGAGTCCTGCTTGGTATATAGCGTTCCCTACAGTCCCAGCAAGTTTCTGTGATCATATAACCCTAAACCCCAAAAACCCTAAACCCTAAACCCCTAAACCCCTAAACCCCCAAACCCCAAAACCCCCAAAAACCCTAAACCCTAAACCCCCTAAACCCCTAAACCCCCAAACCCCCTAAACCCTAAACGTTATCTCTGGAGCTCAGACACAGACATCTGAGCTTAGCGTTCTTCTGGTTGGCTCTTTAGACTTTAACTTTTTGGGTTTCTATATGAACTATAATATCTAGGCTAAAAGTTAAACTTTTAGGAGGGGTTCAGAAGTACGCCAAGTGAGGTAACAAGATCCATCGAGCGGGCGATGCGGGTGTTTGGGTGTGGTCGAGCTGCGGTGCGAGAGACCTCGCCTTTGTTGGGCCGCACAGCTTAAAGAGATAAGAGGGTTGAGGGTTTAGGGGTTTAGGGGTTTAGGGTTTAGGGTTTAGGGTTTAGGGGATATGATTTGAGAAAGTTGCATCAACAAGTTTGCGGTATGGGGTTAAGGCTACATGCATAGTGGAACCTACGTGGAAGAAACCCTCCAGATACAGCACCGGAAGCGAAACCTGTGTCAAGCAGACTTGATGATAGTATCGCCTGGTGTGAAGTATGATAGAGCGAAGAAGCGGCAGCCTGTAGCGGTTTATGAACAGAGCCTCGTGCATCCCGATATCGTGCTCGCTTCTACCAGTGGGAAAAGGTATTTCAGGCATGTTTGCTCTAAAGTTCTTGGAGGCTTCAGAGGAGGACATGCTGGCAAGCCGCCATGACCGTGTGAGAATATCCGACTTTTGGGGTTTGGGGTTCAGAGGTTTCAGGTCTAGGGTGTAGGGTTTGGCAGTTTCCGGGACTAGCGTTTAGGGTTGGCCCTTGGGGTACAGTACGTCACCTTGCCTCTTGTGTTGCACGGGTCAGGAAGTGCAGACGCCGACGAGTTTGTGGGCTTTTGATTCGAGCCTCAGAAGGAGCAGATGAAGGTGCTTCGACTCCGAGAATCTGGGTTTACGAAAGTAATATAGGGGCCTACCTACACTATTTTGGGAGTTCCTTATTAAAGATATAGTATCATATACCCCCAAACCCTATTCAAATTATTCAGGTCCCTACATTAACGGGCTGGGCCGGGGCGTTCCGTGAAAGATGAAGCTCTCCGTCCAATCTGGGGGTTTCAGAACATAGGGGGCCCTAATATAGTACCCTAAATAGTAGGATCCTTATTATAAGGACCCCAAAATAGAGTACCCTAATTTTCGGAAACTCCAATCTCATGATATGTAATGGCGTTCTTTTGTCCATAGATACCGGCTGGGACTCCATCAAGAAACGTAACCCAAACCCTAAGGGTCCATGTACTCATATAGTATATACATTGGCCCCAAAGTCCCTGTATAGGGACTACTTTAAGGCCAATGTATACACTATTTGCGTACATGGACCCTTAGAGAAAGACTCTGATGCCTGGCCTGCGCAAGGCAAGTGCAACTTCGCCAAGGTGACGATCTGACTTTGAGCCAGTTTTGATACCCAGGAGTCTTGTCTCGCTGATTTTGGAGAGACTCCCATCAGTTTGTGGGCGCGGCTTCTGTTCATCGCCGATCGACGTCTCGGTTCGTCAGGGGTTTAGGCGCCATTGAGGGGTTTAGGCTTTAGGGTTCAGGGTTTGGGGTCTGGTTTAATATAGGGGTCTTACTAAGTACCTATACTATTTTGGTGGTTGCTTACTATAACATAGTATAAAGGAGTCCCATTCTAATTCTACCTTAGATGGGCTTGGGTCTAGCTTGTGTCCTTTGCAGACTTTCACTCCCTGTCGCGACGAGCAAACAACTCGGGGAGGCGCCAGGAGCCCTTTGAGATTTACCCTCTGCTGACAATGATATCGGTAGTTCTGTAGATTAGGATCCCTTTTAGGGTCCTTTTTTATAAGGGTGCCGCACTATATTAGGGACCCAAAAAGGGACTCTAGATTTAGGCAATGACGTGTCAAGCAACAGAATCCGTGATGTTGTCCTGCCGTCCAAAGGATGCAGGTCAACAGCCACCGAATTTGTACAGCAGTAGTATGCCGAACTCTTGGATTACGTACCTGTTCCTGAAGATGCTTTGACCTCCTAGAAGCCCGAATGCTACATCCCCCAAGCCCACCTTTTGGTACTAGAACTTCCCATGTTCATTCAAGTCTACCCATGTGGTTCCGAGCAGATGGCCTGAATTCAGCGCAAGGGGCGCGTGTGCACTCAACGACCATGCTGGCTTTTCACTGACGCAATTCGCACGGTCATTTCCCCTACATAGAGACACTAAACCCTAAACCCGAAACCCTACCTTAACCCCAAATAACCTACCCTTTTAGGGACTTGTATAAGGAAGTCCGATTAAGGAACCCTAAAAAGGTAGGTTCTTCAGGGTCTAGGTAAACTCTAAACCACTAACCCCCAAACCTTCGAGGGTTCACAGGGTGGAGCTCCCCCCAAGTTGCACATTTTGCTGAGTCGCCTCCCGGAAGCCCGCAAGGGGTTGAGGTTTTGGGGGCTTTGGTTGGCCAGGTGCACCCAGGTTTGCGCGCCACGACATGCCACGATACTTATCTCAGGACCTCCTTCACAGCACCAGTTCGCCAAACAGTGCCCTCGTGCACACAGCAGACAGTGCTCAAGCAAAGCCCATACCGCCGAATATAAGTCTACTACAGTGAAACGCCTACAAATCAAGACACATGCGCATGTTCTTTCTTCCCGTGAGATCACAGCGGGCCGCCGAAAATGGCACCATGGAAGAACAAAGCTCTTTGGACATGTTTCGGCTAGCGCTCGCTGCGCTCTCGCGGCCCTCAGCTGTCGCTCGCCGGCGAAGGCACTCACAGGAAGGTAACCTCGAGGCTCATCTCAGTCGCGGTTACCTTGAGACTCGCCGGGACATCTAAGATGTCGTTTTGCGCGGCGAAGCGTGCAAGTCGAGGGGCACCGTCTACAGAGACGGGGCTGTCCCAGCTTTACATCAATGCCTTTGGTTGTGGGGAGGGCTTTGCAACCTGGGTTGCTGGAAAGTGTAACTTAGGAACCCCAAAAGGGCATAAGCATAAGCATTTTATAGGGATATCCCTACCTTATTGGGCTTCATTATAAGGGGGTTTATATGGGATATCTCTATCCTGATTTTTGCTTATGTGCTTTTTTGGGGCCCCAGTAACTACTTGTGCACCAGGCATCCCCTGATGAGACCATTCCCTGATCCCTGAACTCTGTCAGCCCTTGCACCAAACATAAACCATGGGGTTTAGGGTTTAGGGTTTAGGGTTCAAAATCAAACCCTTAAGCCTTAGACCCAAAGCCATATTTCTTCGACCTTTAACCCCATACACCTTTAACCTGAAGCCCTCAACCTTAAACCCCCACACCTTATGGTTTAAACCTCTCACCTTAAGCCCGTCAAGAGCTTTGGGCGGAGGAGCTCAAGGGTTGCAAAAAAGTTGAGGGTTCCCTAACCCCCCAGGTACCTACTATATAGGGCCCTAGGGGCTCTAGTACCCTATATACTAGGTACCTGGGGGGTTAGGGGTTTATAGGGTTATCTCAGATCGTCGAAAGTCGGAACCTCGGCTTCCCCCAAATAAACTGAGGTAAAGGCTTTAGGGTATAGGGTTCCTTTATGTTTGGGGCTTTGGGTTCCGGGATGTTCGGGGTTTGGGGTTTAGGGATCGTGCCA